AAGAAGATTATTTCAGAGCTGGAACTGACATGGCCTGGTAACCAGCCTCAGGGAGGAAATGGAAGAAAATATGCATTCAGAGCAACTGGCAAGTTTTCTTTGGACTGCTAGCCAGATCTGGGTGTCAGTATCAGGGTGGCAACCCACAAAAGCAACAGAAGACTGGGTTGACACACCTTTTTGTTTTCCTTCAAACTTTTATTATGAAAGTTTTCAAACTTTCAGAAACATTGAAAAATAATACAGTGTCCACTCTTAAAGCCTCTACCTAGCTCTGACATTTATTGCATTTTGCCACTCTTGTTTTATCTGTCTCTATTTGTATGTGTGTGTGTATTTTGGCTGTATCATTTAAAAGTTATCATAATACTTTACCCCTAAGTATTTCAACCTGTGTGACCTATAAATAAGGATACTATTATTTATAGTAGTAATAATTGAGATATAGCAATAATTTCATAATATATAATATTCAGTCTATGTCTTCAGTCAGTTCTCCTAAAAACAGCCTGAGATAGAGATTTGGGTGCCTGTGACATATTGAAGGAGTTCTCTCAAAAGACAGGGAGGGAAGGAAGCACTATAGGGCAGGGGAAGGAGTTTAGGAAGGATGTAGACAGAGGGAAGTCTGGAGTGTGACCTGCACCAGAATTTGCTCTACCTTGAGGCACAAGGGCTCAGCCCTATTTGGTCAGTTATTGTATACAGGCTATTGTTGTTGTTGTTGTTGTTATGTGCCGTCGAGTCAGCCCCGACTCACAGCGACCCCTCCTTGGGTTTCCAAGGCAGTATCACTACGGAAGTAGATTGCCCCATCTTCCTTCTGAGGAGTGGCTGGTGGGTTTGAACTGCCATCCTTCTGGTTAGCAGTCAAGTGCCTGAGCCACTATGCTACCAGAGCTCCTATACAGGCTATAGGGAAGGATAAGGATATTAACCTCCTGAGTAAGGCCTAGGATGGTTCACCAAAGAAAAGGACAACTATGAACCATTAGAAGCTAATAGGGAGTGAGGGGAGGGTTGAGGATGGATGCATATGCTAGGTAAAAGGACGTGGGTGAGGCACCACCAGCATCTACCACAAGTTATATTCAAACTTCCCCAGTTTTCCAAGAATGTCTTTTATAGCAGCTCCCACTAGTATACACACATACATACACACAGCCAGGGTATAATCAAGATTCCCACATTGCATTTGATTCTTACATGACACCTCTTTTGGTGATCCTAAATGAATACTCTGCATTAGTAACATATTCAGCAGTGTTTAGCCTCTTGCAAATGATTTTGCCCTCATCTCATTCTCTGGTCACTTATTAATGTATTCATAACTCAAATTCTTCATTCAAATTGCATTTGTGCCTAGGCCTGTAGATTGCCATTTCTGGACTCCCATCTTGCTCCTGCTCCAGATGCAATTCCTGTGTCCCTCTGAAGGACCTTCTGTCTTTGTACAATTGTAAGAACTTATGAATCTTAGGGAAGTCCTCAAACACATAAAACAAACACTGCTGTCAAGTCAATCCCTACTCAAGTGACCCTTTGGGTTTCTGAGGTGGTATCTCTACGGAAGTAGAATGCCTAATCTTTCTTCCAAGGAGTGGCTGGTAGGTTTGAACCACCAACCTTCTGGTTAGCCATCAAATGCTTTCAGCAGAGTCTTACATGGCCCTTTTCTATCTGGCATATCCAAAATAAGAGTCATGCATTTGATTCTAAGGAAAATAGCTACTTTGTATTTAGTGGCATCAGAAGAGTTTTGAATAGAAGAGGTAGAGAGGGACTGTAGCAGTACCAAAGTCGACTGTGCTCCCAGACTCAAAAGACTTGGTTTTGGTTCTGAACACAATGGTGAAAAGAATAGGAATTGACATGCTGTTTGGCAACACCAGTAAAGGAAGGATCTAGTCATACTTTCTAAAGCTACTGGAAGAAATGATGAAGTAAAATTTTGCTGAACATAATTCAGAAATGGATACAGCAGTACATTGATAGGAAACTGCCAGAAATTCAAGCTAGATTCAGGATGGTTGTGGAACAAGGGATGTCATTGTCAGATGAATCTTGGCTGAAAGCAGAGAATACCAGAAAGATGTTTACCTGTGTTTTATGGACTAGCAAAGGCATTCGACTGTGTGGATCCTAACAAATAAATTACGGATAACATTGCAAAGAACGGAAACTCTGGAATTCCCAGAATTTCAGTAAATTATGCTCATGAGGAACCTATGCATTGACCAAGGGGCAGTCATTAGAACAGAACAAGTAGATACTGCATGGTTTAAAAGCAGGAAAGGTGTGCATCAGGGTTTTATCCTTTTACCATACTTATTCAGTCTATATGCTGAGCAATAATCCAAGAAGCTGGACTATATGAAGAAGAATGCAGCATCAGGATTGGAGGAAGACTCATTAACAACCTGTGATATGCAGATGACACAGCCTTGCTTGCTGAAAGCAAAGACACCAAGCACTTAATGATGAAGAGCAAAGACTACAGCCTTCAGTGTGGATTACACCTGAACATAAAAAATCTTCACAACTGGACCAATAAGCACATCACGATAAATGGAGAAAAGATTGAAGTTGTCAAGAACTTCGTTTTACTTGGATCCACTGTCAGTGCCTGTGGAAGCAGTAGTCAAGAAATCAAACAACAAATTTTATTAGGCAAATCTGTAAAAGACCTCTTTAAAATGTTAAAGAGCAAAGATGTTATTTTGAAGACTAAGGCATGCCTGAGCTAAGCCATGGTATATTCAGTCATCTTATCTGCGTGCAAACGCTGGACAATGAATAAGGAAGACTGAAGAATTGATGCCTTTAAATTATTATTTTGACCAAAAATATTGAATATACCATGGACTGCCAGAAGAACAAACAAATGTGTCTTGCAAGAGGTGCAGCCAGAATGCTCCTTAGAGGCAAGAATGGCCAGACTTCATCTTTCATACTTCGGTCATGTTGTCAGAAGAAACCGGTCCCTGGAGAAGGATAGTATGTTTGGTGAGGTAGAGGGTCAGTGAAAAAGAAGACGACCTTCAAAAAGGTGAATTGACACAGTGGCTGCAGCAGTGAGTTCAGACATAGCCGGGACTGTGAGGATGACACAGGACCAGGCAGTGTTTCATTCTGTTGTACATATAAGGTCGCTGTGAGTTGAAATCGACTTGACAGCAACTAGTTTGGTATTTTGTTTTTCCACCTTTAAGTATTTGCAACTATTAGGTTAAAATTCATTTTTGTTATTTTGGGAAAATCAAGAATGTTTGATAAAATGCTGTTTGGTTGTTCAGTAAGCATAGATGTTAAGTAGTGAAGTTCCCATTCATAGAGGTGCACTACTGAAGTGTGTCAAAATCCATGTAAATATGATCTGACAACTCAATGAATGAATCATAGCATCAAGGAGGATCCCTTGAAAACTTTGGATCATTTCAAATATCCAGAATGGATGAATCATTTATTTATTGTTCCTTTCATTATAGGTTATCCTTTTATTGCAATTACTTTCTTTGCCAAAGCCTGCATAAAATTGCTTATTCAAAAAAAAGTCTTATTCAGAGCAGGCTATCCATTATAGAAATGTGACTCTCCAAAACCAGTTACCCTTGACCCAGTGACTTTTCTCTTATGCCTCAGTTCACCTTACATCTCCCTGAACTAACCAGGAATTGAGCGGTGCACAGCATCACTTGGCCAAGGAGCAACCTTCTCTTTCATCTCTTTTACATGTTATAAAGTAGAAGAGAAAGAGCCCAGCTCCATTATGAATTAGCCAGTCTGAATCCCCATGATTGTTTTCCTTCTTCCATTAAGTAGATTATAATTCTCTTGTTTATGTTTTACTTAGTAAATATCCGTTAAAGAGAAGTTGCCATAGGCAAGAGCAAGTGCCATCCATAGAAACCTAAACCTAGTTCATGTCCTCTTTCTGGACCCTTTTGAAACTTTTTCAACTTGAAATCTGAAAACGATTACTACTTTCCATTATTATTTTTCTATTTTGTTTTCCCTCTTCTCATGATAAAGTATTCTTAAAGTCCATCTCTGAAGAAAACCTAGATATTTACCAGGTAGCTTTTCTTCTCTAGAGGTGCCACAGGCCATCTGCTTACCCTTGTAAAAACTCTAGGTCAGATACCCTCCAAACATGTAGCTTCCATGTGTGATGCTTCAACATAACGGAAACCAACTAATAAATTGATCCAGTTGAGTTTGTTAATCATTCTAGGAAATATGATTTGCATTTCTTTCTTATATTGTTTCTCACAATAACCCACTAGGTCATCAGAGATCTTTTCAGAAAAAAGAATTAAAAGAAATTTCCTATGGGAAAATGTCATCCTTTTGAAAATGTTCTTTAACTCAAACTTTTAAAATTTAAATGTTTGAAACAAAATTTAAATGTTGCCATTGAAATGCATCTATAGCTAATTTATGAGCAAAGGTTATTGGTTTTAAAAATATATCTTCTTTTAGAAAGATTAAAACTAAATGAATCAAAGTGTTAACTGTGATTATATTCGAATGATGAAGTTGTAATTAGTTTTCTTGCTATCCTCCAAAGATAGTGTATATTGCTTTAAAGTGGAAAAAGAAACACTAGAAAATTACTCTCTCCGTCCTCCACATTTCTTTCCTTAGTACTTGCATTACAAAATCAAAGCTAAATACCTGGAGTAGGGATTAGCAAACTATGGCCCACAAGCCAGCCACCTGTTTTTTTTATAAATAGAGTTTTATTGGACCTATTTGTTTCTGTATTGTCTGTGGCTACTTTAAAGTTCTAACAACATAGTTGAATAATTGCGACAGAGATCATCTGGCCCTCAAGCCTAAAATGTGTATTTTATGGTCTTTCAAGAAAAGTTTGCTGACCCCTGGTCTAGTGCCTTAGGATTTTAGAAGCAATTGGAAAGAGTTTTTTTTAAAGTTAGCCAAACTTTTTCTAAAACTGCTAATAACACCATTTTCCTTCTTTCCTTTCCTCATTGCAGCCTAAATTAACAATGGCAAAATGCAGGCGAAATGTGGAAAATTTCCTAGAAGCTTGCAGAAAAATTGGTGTACCTCAGGTAACAAATACATACATGATTTTTCATATTGCGTAAATAAACTTGGGTATTATTTTCCTAAAACCTTTCAGAAATTCTAATTATTAACCTGATTTTGTGCTGAGTCGATCAATATACCTTTGAAAAGTTTTTCCTTAACCAAGTTATCACATATATACAAATTTAAATAATACATTATAATAAACGATAAGGGAGCTCTGGTGGCGTAGTGCCTAAGGCATTTGACTGCTAACCAGAAGGTTGGTGGTTCAAACCTACCAGCCACTCCTCGGAAGGAAGGTTGGGCAGTCTACTTCCATAGTGATACTTCCTCAGAAAACCTGAAGAGGGGTCGCTTTGAGTTGGATCTGACTCAGCAGCAGTGAGTTTGTTTGTTTTTTTTTTTAATTGACATAATAAACCAAAAAAAAGCAAACCTGTATACACTTCACCCAATTCCCTAATGTTAACATATAAATATAGTTCAGTTATCCAAAGTAAGAAACACTAGAACAATACTACTAAGTTACAGATCTTGGTCAGATTTTATCAGTTTTTTCACTGAGCTCTAATATGTTTGAGTTGGGCATGCAGGAGCCCATTTGTAGGCATTTTTCCTGCTTTAGGATTCATTGCCTCCAGGTTTCTCAGTTACAGCTTTATTGACATTTAATACTACAAAGAGTTAAACTTTATTTATAATTGGATTTAAGGGAAAAGAACTTGATATACTTTTAATTCAATTACCTTTAAAAAAATTAAACTTAAAAAAATTATATTAATTTAAGCGTTGTACTTTTAAATCCACTGTCATCAAGTTGGTTCCGACTCACAGTGACCCCATAGGGTTTCCAAGGCTCTAAATCCTTATGGAAGCAGACTACCACATCTTTGTCCCATGGAGCCGCTGGTGGGTTTGAACCACTGACTTTTTGGTTAGCAGCTGACCACTTTAACCACTGCAATACCAGGGGTCTTTATAGTACTCTTAACGAATATTATATTTAATGACATGATGTTTAGACATATTTAATGAAACAAACAACTTAGTACAATTTGATAGTTTTTTCATTAACCACAACCATTACAGTTCTTATTTGCTTAACCTTCAAGGAGAAAAAGCATGACTCTTCTATCACCTTCTTAATTAGCTGTCAGAAATCCAGGATTGGCCCTTGGGCAGAATAACTCCGTCATTTTTTGCAGAGTTAACCCCTTAGCTCAGTAATTTGCAACACAGTAACTGTCTCTTGTACCCAGTTCACCATACCTCTCTTTTAACTAGCCAAGAGTTGAGTGGGACGCAGCATTACTTGTCCCATGAGCAGCCTCCTCTTTCAGTTCTTTCACATGTTAAAAAGTGCAAGAAAAGAGCTCAGTTCCATAGATCTTCTGCATTAGTCAGTGGGAATCCTCATGATGGTTTTTCTTCTTCAGTTAAGTAGTTCATGATTCTACTGTTTTGTGGGGTGAGAGGCTGGGTTTTGGAGGTTCTTTTAAACCTGATTTACAAAAAGAAGTGAAATTTACATTTATTGATAGGTAACAAATGTTCCTGTGACCTAGTCAAAGTTTTTATTTTTATGTAGATACTGTTTTCCAAAAAAATCATCTCTTCAGTGCTGATAAAATGGTTTATTTTAAAGATATTGAGAGCATTTCTAAACATCATGCATTTTATCCACACTAGCAAGCAGGTTCTGATTTTTTATGTGAACATTAACATTCAGTGCTTCCCTTCTTTATCCCTACTGAAGCTGTTGCTACCTAACATCACATTACGCAAATGTGCCCAGTACCTGCTCAGTTCCAAAGCACAGTATCTTTGAACAAGGGAATGTAGTATGGGTTGGGTGCATGGAATGAGAACCACCCAATTAAAAACAGGCACTGCACAACTAGAGGGAAGAGTTTTGGCAAGGGCCCTACAAGAGCAAGACATGCTAACAGACTTCGCCGATGTCAACATGTGTTAAAAGTACCATTTACCAGCTTTTTAGTCATTACACCTATCCACAGGGAGCCTTAGTGGTACATTCGGTTAGGCACGTGGCCACTAACCGAAAAGGCAGTTTGAACCCACTGGTTGCTCCATGGGCAAAAGATGAGGCAGTCTACTTCCATAAAGATTATAGCCTTGGAAACCCTACGGGGCAGTTCTACTCTGTCCTATATGAGTCAGAATTGATCGACAGTGATGGATTTGGGTTTGGTCGGAGTACCTATCCACTGGACTTTAGAGCATCAGCATCTGTCTCAGATTTAAAGGCCCTACTCTTTTGGAATGTTCCTGCCATCAGCAAAATACAAAAATATTGTACCTTAAAGCACACATTGAATTCAGCATTTGCCTAGCGGTGGTTAACAGTACTTATCCTTGGCCAGCCTACTTTGTTCCTAGTAGAACTATGCTATTTAAAAGCAGGTACAGAGATAGGAAAAACAGAATTTTAGAAAACTGAGTGTTTGTCCAAAATGATTAGACTGAGATTATTGACACAGCCTTCCTCCCTTCTCCCTTTACCCTACCAGGAGGAGGAAATGCACATTCCACACAGGCCACCCTTCCCTGTCCTTTTTGACTGTGTCATCACCACCACCACCACCACCACCATCCCCACTCTTAGATGGGTTCTTGCTATGCTGCGATCTCTGGTACAATATTGATCGTCTGCCCAGAACAAAGTGAAGGGAAGTGTGGAGATGGACAGACGCAGGCTCAGACCAGCATCCCTCAGGCCCCTCCACCAGTAGAGGGAAGAAGAAATCTATGCCTCCTCTCCCCTTTTAGGCTTCTGACCTTTACCTGAGCATCCCCACTGGCTCTGTTGGACTTGAAAAAAAAATCAGTGATGGAATAATAATCATTTTTAAAAATATAAAATTGTTAATATGCCCAGGGAATATTTATAAAGGCAGGAAATTTCCCTTCTCAGTATCATTTGTGAAGTGTTATGTAACTTAAATCAATGAAACACTAAAGAATAAGGTGACTGTTAGAAACCTCTGAGTATTCACTTTATTATTATGTTTTTATTAAATATATGTTACATTCAAAAAGCTATAATGGGTGATAAAAACTTCTATTCGAATGTAGTATTTAATGTCCTAAAGTTATTACTATAGTTCTGTTAAAGGATATTTTCCTTTTTTCATGTCTAGTAATGTTATTTATTTCTTCATCTATCATGAGGAGAATTCGGTTATCTTTATGACTCCTTGCAAGAGTAGTTTCATTTAGGAGATATTAGTGAACTGGCCTTGGTTATGATGGACTTGAGTTTTGGAGGAACACCAAGTCATTCAGTATACCTGAATTCTGTAAAATAAATGTCCTCTAATAATTAGGCTTTCTTCATTTCTCTGAGGCTTTTTAATTTCTCTGGGTTTTTCTTAAACCTCCCTCTACTCAGCGCACCCCAGTTTTTATTTTTGCTCTCTCACCTTCTTTATTAATAGGGAAGAATGAGAGTCAACAAAGAGGTTCCCTTGTGCAGACCTCACCTCTCAGGCCTCCTATACCCTGAGCCAGCACTGTGCACCCTCACACTGTACTCTTAATGTTCCTAGTAGTCACCAACAAGCCAGTTTTAACACATAGAGGATTCTTTGCAGTTTTGTTTTTCAGCCTTTTTTCTTTCTTTATAGTATATAAATGTTACAGGATGTGTTTTTAGAATATGATTGAGATGATCATATTTTTAAATTCTATACTGAAATCTACATTTCTGATCCACTGACTTTGTTTTTCTGTTTTCCTTTCCTGCTCACACTTTGGACAGGACAATCTTTGTTCCCCCTCCGACATCCTTCAGCTAAACCTCAGCGTTAAAAGAACTGTTGAAACACTACTTTCTCTTGGGGCACATTCAGAAGAATCCAGTTTTGTGTCTCTGTCTATCCAACTTCTGGGTTTTGTGGCATTTTATTGTACATTAATGTTAACTCTCTGCATGTTTTATTACTGGATTTTCCCCTTTAGCTGAAAGATTGCATTCCAGTGGCTTTTCTACTTCATTCCTGTGCTTGGTAAAGGAGGTTTGTTTCTCATTCAGAATTATTTGCATATGTGCAGTTTTTTTTGTTGTTGTTTGGTCCATCAAAGAGCTAACCTATAAAGAAGATAAATCCTTTCTTCACATGTCCAGATGAACAGCCCCATCACATTAGGAAGCATGTATGACTGTTTTAAAAAAAAAAAAAGAGTGATGGAGCAGCATTTTTCTCCTGGTCTTTCTCTGTTCTCCTGGCCTGTAACTTTGTTTCTGTTGTCATAAATGCTGAAGTTTTTCTCCTAATACAACCCTGACCCTGTTCTTAGAATATGGCATCTAGAGCTTTAATTCCAAATGACAGAATAACCTGCTATGGCCATGTTTCCATGCCTCAACAGACCTTAAGTGTTGAAATCTAATTGCTGAACTATTTCAACAGCTGATTATAAAGATAATAAAGAGTTGCACCCTTCCAGACTTAGCAGGGGGAGGGGCACAGGGAGGGCACCTGATCTCTGAGGTCTCTGCCTTGGACTGTGCCCTGACATCTTGGACTCTCCTGTTATTGTTAGGCACAGCATTGGCTTGAGAGGCACTGGCCATTTAATCTGAATAATTTGGTCAGAATGTTCTGTCCAAAGGTCATGGAGGTTCTTATTATGATCCCAGTGTATACATTTAAACAGTGCACAAGGAGTATCTGGAGCTGACCTTTCAGGACTCTGGTGTCCTTTCAGAGATTCACTTCTAGAATCCTATTTAGAATTTTAAATGGAATTTATGTAACTTCCAGCATATTAGAATCATCTTTATAGGTGAGCTTGTGATTTATAGGCTGTTGGAGAGACTCTGTCTGAACAGTGGCAAGTGAAATATTAGCCAGTGGCCTCTGTTCTGTACCCAAGGCAGTGGATTTTGCTCTTTCAGCACTAACTGCTGGACTTTCATGCTTGAAACTGCTTTATAATTGTACTCAGATACTAGTTCTCACAATGGCGTTTATGAACATTCAGGAATCTCCCAACCTGCACTAACAAAAATGGTCAGCTGAAGGTAGATCTCAGTAACATTGGCTGTTTGAAATTTGACCTTCCCATTGCAGAGTTCAGCTGGGGGGTCTGATTGCTTTGGGTTTCCTCCACAGACTGTTAGTGCTGAAATCTGACACTGTGTTGAAAACTCCAGTTATATAGTAGTAGTGCCTTCTAGTGTTTGGAGTTTTGGTTTGTTTTGTTTTGAAGACGTCTCTGATGCAGTGATCATTTTCAGAGTTCTGTGAGTGCTCATTCTCAGAGTTCTGTGGAGTTTTGTCTCTTTGAAAAAAAAACATGAAGCAGAGAAAATAAAAACCTGCTCTTACCTGTGCTATGTGCTTTCTCATTAGAATACACAGCATTCCCTCCAAGCCAGCTGGAAGCTAAGTATGTGTCTCAGAACCAGATGCTTCTGAGGGAATGTCTGAGCCACAGACTACTGCTGAGAAGAAAGCAGGGAATCCAACTTGGAGAAAAAGTATCTCTTCCAGAGCAAATCACCAGACAGATTCATTTTAAGTATAAGTAATTTAACAGTTGAAATCAAAAGTATTTATACAAAGTTACTAGTTTTATAAGATCAAAAGATTGTAGTTAAAAAAAAGATTGCAGTTACCTTGAATATGACGTAATTAAGAAACACAAGTACCAGTAACTGCCTCAAAAATAAATACTGTTATATTTTTAATTGCATCTGTTTTTGTAAAACTATCTCACAACATAAGATAGTGTCAGTGGGAAGCAGAGAAAAATCTAGTTATCTTCTTTAATAAATATATATAGTCTCTTTTTTTAATGGAACTGGAATTATTTTTATTCTTAATGAAGGAGCCCTGGTGGTGCAGTGGTTAAGTGCTTGGCTACTAACTGAAAGGTTGGCAGTTCAAACCCACCAGCTGCTCCACTGCCACATCTCATCCTTTGTGGCAGCATTCTCTTTCTGAGTACTTAGTCTGAACTGTGAAAAACAGTAAAAGAGGTATTTTGAGATTTGCCTTTTCTGTTACTCTAGAAGGGTTTAACCAAACAAATGATGCAGAAAAAACAGAAGTATTTAACTTTCTTAAACAACCATGTAAACACTTCTATCTATGGGAATTAAGATGCTCCTGACTGAACTCGTAGTCCAGTTCTCCAGCATGAGTTGATCTGTTAAATAGCAGAATATGAAATACTTCACTTTTTTCACATGCAATTTCCTTTTTTAAAATTCTGTAATTTATATTTTAAACTAATTCAGACTGGGTCCCATGATTTACCGCAATAGGAAAAACTTTCTCTAAATACATTAAATCTCAAGAGCTCAATGATGCACTTCAGTTTCTTCCTTGTGATCCCTGCCCTGGTGAGAGAAGCCTGGTTTTCAGAATCGGGATTATAATGCAGGCAGTGGGCACCCTGAGCCCATGTGGTTTGATTTATTACATGAAACCATTTTGTGTCCTATGGTATGTAATTTCCAAAGTTCTTTCTCCTAAAACGTTCTCCTTGCAGATCTGAGCCACCTGTTTCACTTGAGACTGGCTCTGTTTTTCCCCCCCGCCTTCTTTGATAGAGCTGCAGTATTCTTTTATTTGTCAGGGATGAAGGCTGTTGTTTTCACTCCACAGTGTTCTGTCCTTCCTTTGTTGAATGTGTGTATAAGCATATGCAACTTGTCCATTTCCCAGTTCTCAAAACAATCTGTATGTACTTTTAGTTGTATGAATAAATAACAGTCATTGGAACATACTAATTTGAAGTGGATGACAGTACTACTCACTATCTTTTTCTGTGAGCGTCAGACACCATCTCTAACTCACGTTAATTCTCAGGTACTGACTTTTCATATCTCAGATGATTATGAGGGGGAGAAGGACTGCTTATTATTTCCTTTCAGTTTTGTGATGTTCATCCTATTTTTTCTTTTGTTGATTTTATGTTACGTTGTCCCATTTCAGGAGCAATTATGTTTGCCTCTCCACATTTTAGAAGAGAAAGGTTTGAGCCAGGTTGCAGTGACGGTCCAGGCTCTCCTGGAACTTGCCCCGCCCAAGCAACAGCAGCACCAATTATCTGCTATTTAAGGACTCCCCGGAACTTGGGCTTTGGCTTGGCCAAAACAAGGATCAGGACAACGTGATTGCTGCTGCCAGCCACCTGCTTAAACAAAGCGCTTATGTGTTCTTAGAAGGGACTGTTCCCATCATTCCTGACAGGAATGTTTTGCTTCATTTCTCCATTTTAGGGGAGGTTGTATCAGTTTCCATTGAAGTTTTGGTTTTTGGTTTTTTTTTAATCAAAGACACTTGGTTTTCTCAAATGAAACTTAATTTTGTCATTTTTTTTTTTTTTTAATTGTGTCATTACTGAGAGTCCAACACCAAAACCTAAACTGGCTGTGCTTTCTTAGAGAGCAGACCTATTTCCTATCTGACAAAGAGTGTCTTCTCAGAATGCTGTTTAGCTCTCCTGAAGGCACAAACATGCTATTATTTTTTACCTGTTCCAAGGCCTGTACAGTCACTGGTTTCTAAACTTCGTTGGTCACTAAAATCTCCCAGAGCATTTGTTAAAATACAGATTTCTCTGTAAGGTTTGGGGTGCAGCCTGGGGAATCTGAATTTTTCAGCAAACATTACAGGTGTTTTTCATATCGTGGCAACCACTGTTATAAGCTAGTATTTGTATGGTTTTTGGACTAGTACCCCAGGGTGTTTTTCACCCATGTTGAAAATCAATAGCTATATTATGGCTACTTAGGCTATCCTGTGAAAGGCACATCAAAAATAATATAGCAGGCCTCAGCCTTAAGATTTTACATAGTAAAACATGAAAACAACTACATTGTATTTAAGGTCAGTGTCCTAGACCTCCCTCCAACTGCAGTCTGCCACTACTTCTTTATTAGGGGATGGTTCTGTGTATCATACTGCTGTTTCTTTAATATTATAAACAAGCACTCTACGCACAGGTTCTTGATCCTTAGGCTGGAAATAGGCCCTGCTCTGTACCACATGCGTGGAGTTCATTGGTACTCACCCCCCTACACACACACCACACACACACTCGATGCTGCTCCCAGGACTTGTGAACATGCTCCAGCCATAGCAGATACACTTACATCTTCCCAGCTAATGAAAGATGGTGAAAAGAAAGAAAGGAAAAGCCAAGTTTCTTTTACTTTGTTCAGGTAATTGCCCGTTTCCATGGCTAAATTAAAGTACTTAGGGATTTTACAAACAGCTTCCGGTCTTCAGCTGTCCATATAGCACCTTAGGTACTGAATGTGGATGGAGTGAAAAGGCCCAGGGACTCACAGAACACACCCTTTATTCAACTGTAAGCCACTTGGATTTTTCTTTTTCTTTTGAACCCCTTTTGGTTGTCAGTGTTATCTTTGGTATCCTTTGTAAACCAAGTAAGTAAATATACTAGTTGCTTAGTGGTTTTTTTTTGTTGTTGTTGTTGTTGTTAACTTCTGGGTTTTCTTTACCCATGCATGTGTTTGAGCATCAAATTAATCTTATTTTTATCATGTAAATGCAGTATCTAAAAGTAGCTTTGGGTAAAATCATTTTGGTTATCTAATCAAAATGATGTTTTCTCCTTGTTCTAGAAGAGAAACAAGTTTATCAGAACACTTTATCCACATTTAAAATTATATAAAATATCTGAACTGAAAAGCCCAGTGCTTCAGGCTCTCAAGGAATAAAATTAACAACGTCTTAGAACTGTTTAGAGCCAGACCCCATCATATTACAGCTCCAAACAGACCCATATGACATGTTCAGAATTTAACAGTGTGTGTTTGCAAACTAAGTTTTTTCCCCACTACTAAACACTAAACTCACTGCCATTGAGTCGTTTACGACTCACAGTGACCCCATTGGGTTTCTGAGGCTCTAAATCTTTACAGAAGTAGATCACCTCATCTTCCTTACACAGAGCAGCTAGTGGGTTTGAATCGCTGACCTTCTGGTTAGCAGTCAAGTTCCTTATCCACTAGGCCACCAGAGCTCCTTTGTTTTTGATTTTTAAACATTAAACCTAAGTCCACTCTCCAGATCATAGAGAACACCTGAAATGCAATTCAGCAAAAGGCAGGACTATTTGTAATATACTGTGCAAGGAATCATTCTAGAAGACATTACATAACACCACACTTGGAACATTTAGAATAATTTTCTTGTAGGAATAAATGAAAAGTAAGATTCAACTTACTGCAAATTTTGCAGATAACATGCAACTTTATTAATGTATTTTTATCAAACTAATTCAAATTTGTATTTGAATGGTTAGAAAAAATTACAGTTTTGGTTGATAATGAAAGAAGAATATTATATTGAATCATTAGGTCAACATATAAAACAAATCATGATTTTTAGTGAAGAATTTCTGTATTCAGTGTTTTGTATGGTTTAGGTTTTTTTTTTTTAATGGGAAGAAGAATTCAGTTAAACATTTATACCTTGCTAGATGAAGCTGGGGAGCTCTGGTGGCATAATTCCAAAGCCATTTGACTGCTAACCACAATTGGTGGTTCAAACCCACTAGCCACTCCTTGGAAGAAGATTGGGCAATCTACTTCCTTAGAGATACCACCTCGGAAACCCAAGGAGGGGTTGCTATGAATTGAATCAAAACGACAGCAGTGAGTTTGGTTTCTTCAGTTTGTTAGATGAAGCTGACCTTTGTAACAATTCCACCTGCCCATCCAGGAGCTTCTTAACTGAAACAGTAGCCATCCCAGCACTGAAAGTGTGAGTGAAGAAAAGGCCAAGTACCCACCTAGCAGAGTCCCTGCCAACTATGGAGAGTTTAATAAGGAGCAGGTTTCTAGGCTTTCATACTCATGTCCTTAGCACTCCAAGCCAGCTTTTTCCAGTAATAACTGGATCTGGAAACAAATCATGAAAGGAGTTGTTGTTAGGTATTGTTGAGTTGGTTCTGACTTGCAGTGTCTCCACATACAACAGAATGAAACACTGTTTGGTCCTGTGCCATCCTCACAATCCTTGCTGTACTGGGCCATCGTTGCAGCCAGTGTGTCAGCCCACCTCATTAAGGGCCTTCCCCTTTTTCACTGACCCTCTACTATTTCACCAAGCATGATACCCTTTGGGAACTGGTCCCTCCTGATAACACATCCAAAGTACATGAGTGAAGTCTTGTCATCCTTGCTTCTGAGGAGCATTCTAGCTGTACTTCTTCTAAGACATACTTGTTTGTTCTTCTGGCAGTCCATGGTATATTCACTATTCTTTACCAAGACCATAATTCAAAGGCATCAGTTCTTCTGTGATTTTCCTTATTCATTGTTCAGCTCTCATATGCATAGGAGGCAATTGAAAATACCATGGCTTGGGTCAGGTGCACCTTAGTCCTCAAAGTGACATCTTTGCTTTTTAACACTTTTTAAAAAGAGGTTTTTCACAGCACATTTGCCCAGTGCAGTATGTCATCTGATTTTCTGACTGCTGCTTCCATGGGTCATGGAAGAAGAGATCTTTGTCAGGTAGCCACACAATAGGATATTGCTTAGTAATAAGTCACCTTCCTTAACAGCTTATTAGATACAGTGTTACAGCTAATCAAGGAATCTGGTTTCTCTTCCTATAGTTCAGCAGTGACTGGCTGATGAATTTTTAAAAACTAAGCACTTAAATGGTTTCAGAAATGAAGGAAAACATGGATATTTAGAGAACATGGATACATACTGCAGTGAAATGGTTTACAGCATATTTCATCTTATTTCTGAAAATGTTGCAAACATGTAATTAGTAAGATTTTCAAAAAACATTGTCTTATATTTGTATGTCTGTAAATATATTGCATAAGTTCTAAGTATAAATATGTCAATATCATGTATGTTATTTTAAATTGTCTGTATGCTATGTTACACATTGACATTAAAATAAAAACCAACACTTCAGTAGCATGAAATAAAGGCTGATTTGAAAGCATGGTTTCCTTGTCAAAGATGAATCAAGAAAAGGGTATTTAATTCCTTGAAGGAACATCACTAGAAACTGGGTCCGCATAATTGGCCCATAGATGAGATTTTATTCTCTTAAGGAAGTTCAGATATTTGTAGTTGGATATAAGTCTTAATTCATGAAATACATGTGGCACATTCGAACAATTCTCAGAAATTACCATCTTTGCTGTAGGAAAGCTTTACCATCCCAAGACATGTTGTTCTGATTAATCAAAGCAATAATAGCCCAGTAGACTCGTTCTTTTTCTGTGTGCCAGGCACAGGTTAGGTATTTTCATGTCTTATCTTTCTTACTCAATGAGCACTGTTGTTAAAGCATTGGGCTGCTAACCAAAAGGTTGGTGGTTCAAGCTCACCAGCCACTCTGCGGGAGAAAGGTGAGGTAGTCTGCTTCTGTAAAAGTTTACAGCCTTGGAAATCCTGTGGGGTGATTCTACTCTGTCCTGTGGGGTCACTGTGAGTTGGAATTTACTTGATAGCAGTGTGTTTGGTTTGGTTTGGTCTTGGTTATCTCTCAGTCATAATACTCAGTAATGTAGGAATCATTAAGTAAGCAAAGAAGGTACAGACCCTGGTATCTCACTTGTGGAAAATACCTCTAGACTAGCCTTCTAAAGAACCTGTGCCCCCCACCACCACCACCACCACCACCTTCACTATTTGTGAGTTGTGTATTCAAACATCACATTTCTGTCTTACAATTTATTTGTTGGTTGTGGTGCCATCATGTCGACTCCAACTCATAGTGACCCTGTATACAACAGAAAAAAAAACTCTTGCCCAGTCCTGTGCCAGCCTCACAATCCTTGCTATACCTAAGCCAGTTGTTGTTGCCACCATGTCAATCCATCTCGTTGAAGGCCTTCCCCTTTTTCACTGACCCTCCACTTTACCAGGCATGATACTCTTCTCCAGGGAATGGTCCCTTCTGACAATATGACCAAAGTAGGTGAGACGAAGTCTGGCCATTCTCGTCCAGGGAGCATTCTGGCTGCACGTATTCCAGGACAGACCTGTTAGTTCTTTTCGCAGTCCACAGTACTTTCAGCATTCTTCGCCAGCACCATACCTCAAAAGCATCAGCTCCTCTTCAGTCTTCCTTATTCATTGTCCAGCATTCACATGCACATGAGGTGATTGAAAATACCATGACTTGGGTTAGGTGCACCTTAGTCTTCAAAGAGACATCTTTGCTCTTCAGCACTTTAAAGAGGTCTTTTGCAGCAGATTTGCCCAATGCAATACGTCATCTGATTTTTTGACTGCTGCTTTCATGAGTGTTGATTGTGGAACCAAGTAATGTGAAATCAGTTTATATGAAATACAAATTACATCCCTACCAATTTCCCAGAAAAAGCTGAAGCAGCTTATAATAAGGTGGGTTCCCCCCATTAAAAACACTAAAATGATAACAAATCTAAACAGGAAGCAGGAATCAACATTTATTAAAATGTTACTGTGTATGCATTATGCTAGACACTTTATGAACATATAATCATTCCTGCTGAACACTTCATTCACTTTTGCACCCAAGGGCTTTTTCACTACAGAGGAGTTAGATATCTAAGTCAAAGGCAGAGACATTACGGAAAAAACAAGTATGCATGCATCTCTGTCACTAAGCCCATAACATTTTTTTCTATAAGTCTCCTAAGAACACATTCTCAGCAAAATTTTATCCAAATATGAGGAAGCCTTAAATCGATGGTTGATCCTAATTCAGGGCTTGAAAACTAATACAGGCAAAGTGAAATAACCTATAGGTGAGTTATCTGTGATAATTAAAGATACTTCTTACTCTGTTCAAGTCCTCGTTCCCATCTCCAGATTATCAGAGGAGGGGACTAAAGGGAACTTGGTCACTTCTTGCCTTTACGCTTCTCCTTGTCTTTGCCTTTGCCCTTTGAATCCTTGCTATCATCTTTGTCCTTCTTAGGCAACCTGAAAGTGCCGATTTCATTACGTATTACAGTGCCTCGCCACCAGGCTTGGAGCTGAAAGAGAAGGGAAGTGTGATTTGTAGTATGCTTGACAAGCTACATTCTTTACATATATGGGGATTATTCTTGATAAAATAACTTTTGTCTGGGTATGACCAGGCAAGCTGTCACTCCAGCAATGCAACCTGTTGTGCAGGACTCAGAGCTTAAGCCATGCTCTAGAGTAAACTTCACAGGGGTCAAAATAAAGCGAGTCTGATTAGGCCAGATGTTCCTGTACACTTAGAAACTCGACTTCCCTGTACTGCTGCCCTTTATAAATGCCCAAGTTTGGATATATAGAACTTGATCCAAAAGGAATGTTACTTACCTGAGTCCAGGGCAAAAGCAAGCACTCAGTGCAAAAATGCCTGTATCACCTGGGTGACTTCAGCAGGCTTCCTGGTGCATTTCATATCTTTAATGGTTAATTAAAGGATCAATACTTCTCATTTGAAAAAAGTAAAATTGAATATCTTAGTTTTAAATACAACTGTTCTGAATATAGTCTGGGCTACTACTAATCCTGTTTAAGATCAGACCAAGTACTAAAACAGGAATAGTCTGCCAGTCCTTACATTTTGGTGCTAAACTGAGGAATCCCAACAAATGGAAAATACAATAGAGACTCAATAAACAATAATTACACATCAAAATCTCTCCTAATTTGGATTTCACATCTGGCCCAGAATGTACTTTATCAGTTCACCCCCCAGTATACAACCCAGACTAAGTCTGTGCAGTAGCTAGACCTGGCAGTTTCATTATCACTAATAGACACCACACAAGTGCATATAAAATTTAAATAACTATTTTCTGAACTGATGCTTATCCTCTCCAGCTTTTTTCAAAAAGCTCTTTTATCAGAACCCAGCTGACAGCCTGTGCTGATTTATAT